CCCAGGCCCCACCCTATAGGCCAAATCCCACCCCCGACCTGTTTTTGTACAAGTTTGTACCTTTTTTACAAAGGTGTTTAAAAAAAAAAAAGTTGTAACATCAAAAGACATTATGGAATACAAAGCTGAGCTGTTCAATATCCCTTCAAAGGACTCTCCCTCGATGTGATACTTTTTAGTCTGTTTTTCTGGTTCAATTTTACATCTTCTTCCATTATACCTCCAGAAACTTCCCCCAGTCAATGCTGCCCCAAGCAACACACAGCTCTTTCTGCTTGTGTATTTTGTTATTCTCGTCAGCTGTGGACAATTTATGTAGCCAAGCTTCTTAAAACAGAGGTTCAGGGGGTGCTTCGGTAGCTCATTTGGTTGAGTGTCTGACTTCGGCTCAGGGCATGATCTCTTGGTTGGTGGATTTGAGCCCCGTGTCACGCTCTGTGCTGACAGCTCAGAGCCTGGAGCCTGATTCGGATTCTGTGTCTCTCTCCCTCTCTGCCCCTCCCCCACTTGTGCTCTCTCTCAAAACCAAACATTTAAAAAATTTTAAAAAGTTGGGTTCAGGACAAGACTACAAATAACTCACACTTACATGGGTACATTTGGAACTTTAGTGCTTCAGCCTTTTATCCCTTCAGCTATCTTTTTCCATTTTTCGAGCAACGCTAACCCTGATGTCTAGAGGTCACTTTGAGCCAATATACTGCATATTCATGTAAAATATATCTACATTCATTTTTACCAAGGCTTGCAGGGTTTTTTTTGCCTATTTATGGGTTTTTAAACAGTTGTGTTTTTTTTTTTCTTTCCTCTCTTAAATACCTTAGTCCACACTGACTTAAAATGCTCTGCTCTTCAGAAAATCATTCTCTGTAACTTTCAAGTTTTAAGTTTTCTCACTTTCAGGATTTCTCAGTGGAATTAGGTTATCATTTAATTTGGCTGCTCTATTTGTTGACTTAATAAAGGGTAAAGTTTGTGTTAGAGTACTATCATTAAATAGATTATTCAAATCTATTTCCCTTCACTATAAAAATCCACTTGCTTAGATTGTTTCCTTTAAAACAGATATATCCGTGGCACCTGGGTGGCTCAGTTGGTTGAGGGTCCGACTTCAGCTTCATGATCTCATGGTTTGTGGGTTTGAACCCCGCATCAGGCTCTGTGCTGACAGCTCCAAGCCTGGAGCCTGCTTCAGATTCTGTGTCTCCCTCTCTCTCTGCTCCTCCCCTGCTTGTGCTCTCTCTCTCTCACAAAAATAAACATTTTAAAAAATTAAAAAATAAAATAGATACACCGACTTCTGTGAGAGGTCAACAGTATTACTAAGAACAGTTTCACACAGGTGCACACTTGAAAAGTTTAAGGCTATAGAGGAGTTTACCAGGTGATGAAGTTAAAAAAAAAAAAAAAAGAGCTAAGGAGTCTTTGCAGAGGGACCATTGTGATTTGGTTTCCCAGTATTCTCGATTTCCTCAGACATCACACCTGATGAGTTCTTGGGCCATGAGGTTTGGGGGAATGATCCCATGGATGCAAAAGAGTTAACAGGGCAGCTCTGAGACAGCTATCCTTAGAAAGGTTTGCCTGCAAGGTTGGCCCTCGGCTGGCATGTGGGAACTTAGATTTCAGGAGGGCTCCCCCATTCCCTGAGAAAGCGGCTCCCTGTTCCCAAACTGTACCGGGGGTTTATGCTAAATATACCTGCTTTCCTTCTATGAATCTGGAATTCTGCTACGGGGTCTGGCAAGACGAGCCTGTGTGACAAGCCTCCCAGTGAAAACCCTGGACACTGAGTCTTGATAGACATTTTACACGTGTTGTCACGATTTGATGCTGGGGGGATTAAGCGTGTCTTGTGTGACTCCATGGGAAAAAAAAAAGTCTTGAAAGCTTGTACCTGATTTCCGCTGGACTTCACTCGATGCAGCCTCTTCCTTTTTCTGCTTTTGTTTTGTATCTTTTTGATATAATAAATTGTAGTCTTGAGTGTGGCTGTATGCTGAGTCCCACGAGTCCTCCCAGCAAATCATCAATACCAGGGGAGTCTTGGGGACCTGCCAACACACTACCCTCAGCCATAAGTTTGGGTCCTGATAGATGCAGGCATAGCCAACATCTCTATAGAGGTGATCCAAGGATTGGCTTCTGACTCCAGCATGGCTAGAGAGACCAGATGAGGCCTCACCTGGGCTTCTGAGAGAACCCAGCGTTCTTTATTCTGCTGGTTGATGTGGGATGGGACTGTGAGGCTGCACCTGGTGGTTGCCTTCTTATGACCAAACAAGAACAACCTGGAGTTACCAGGGAGGCTACCACATGGAGGCTGCGGATAAGGCAAGCACAGAAGGCAAAGAATTGGGCCAGGATCACAATCAATTGCTTGACCAAGCCCCTTCAAAGACAGTCCTACCCTTCTAGATGTTTCCTCTGTTACGCAGGCAAGTTGTGTTACCAGTGTGAACTAGTTTTATTATTGGCCACCGCAAGGATCCCAACTGATGCGACACTGAACCATGCCAGAGTCTGACGGAGAGAAGACTAAGTGAGAACCCTGTCAGGTTTCTGAGTTGGGAAGTCACATATTTATTCAGGTGTGTGTCCTAGTAAGGCCCCTCTGGTGGGCAGGAGGTGCGTGGTGAAAAACTGAGACCAGTGGGAACACCACTAAATAAGCTATCCACTAAGAGGGTATACATGGTAGCAGCAACTGGAAAACCCTGGAAGATTCAGTAAATGGAAGTGAAGGATTGGATGTGGGGGGTGAGCACTAGAAAAGTCGAAGATGACTGGTTTCTTAGTTTGCCTCAGCAAAAGGTGGTGTTCTTTTGTTTATTTGAGAGAGAGAGAGAGGGAGAGAGAGAGAGAATCCCAAGCAGGATCCCCACTCAGTGCAGAGCCCCATGCGGGGCTCAAACTCATGAACCACAAAATCCCGACCTGAGCCGGGTGTCGGTGTCAAGAGTCTGACACTTACCCGACTGGGCCACCTAGGTGTCCCTAAGAGGTGATGTTCTTAACTAAGGCAACAAGAATACATGCGCATTTAGGGGTGGAGGGGAAGACGACGTGTTGACCTGCACAGTAACCAGAGGACAACAGCCTCGTAATGACTTGTAACTGTGGGTGGGACTGTGGGATTATGGAAGGAGCATAACTAAAATACAGGTTCAGGGGCACCAGCACTCAGGCGATGGGTGAAGATAGGAGAGGAGATGAAACCATCCAGGAAGAAAATGTCTTCCAAAGGGTGGTCAGGCCTGAAACCTCAATCCTGATCCTACAGAGATGGGTAGATAGGATAAATTATAGAAGAGAAAAAGAGAAAACAGGGAGACTAACCCATGGGTTCATTAATAAGTTAATATATTTCTTAATGAAGGATAAAAGGGAAATGATGAATTAAGGAGGACAGTGTATTCAACAGTATGAAGATTACAGAAAAAGTTAAGGAGCACAAAGACGAAAAAGAAGCCGCTCAATCTGGATAACAGCCTCTCTCTGACCTTTGAGACTGACAGAGAAAGGTTAGGAAGATAATTAAAACATCTCTTTCTTAACATGCTTTAAAGATGTAGGGTCTACATTCAACACTCTCATCAGTGTGTGGCATTTGATTCATTTTAACATACTGTTTCTATTTGGAAGGACACTAAGCTCTTCCAAGCTCAAGAGCAACAACGGCTATGACAAAAGACCAACGTTAAAAGGCTGCCCCTTTAAAAAACAAATTCTACTGGTGTAACAAAAAATCACTCTGAATTATAGTTTTAGGATACCATACAGAGATTGTGAGGCTGAGGCATAACTTCTAGGTCTTCTCCACATCCTGCTCACTCATTAAGCCAACAATCCTGAGGCGTGCCTTCGTGTTCCCCCACTGTGCTAAGTGTTCCAATTCCATGTTTCTGAGACCATTTCCCTTGATCCCTGAGCCTCCTGAAGCGAAGTGCCAGGCCACACTCCCCGAAGCCCTATTTGGTCCCCCAGCTCCTGAGCAAGTCAACAGCGGTCTCTGAGCACACTCGTCGGCCCCAGGTCACAGTCTGTCAGTAGGGCGGGCCGTGATCAGTGACTGGTTAGCGCAGGCCAATGCTGACGGGCACCAGAGCCTCCTCTGTTCTCTCTCTGCCTCCTCTGCTTACCACTCTCCACCCAGGCGTTGATCCCCACATCTCCAAATATATTCCTGCCCGGAGATCTCCACGTCAAAGCCCGGTGGCCAGGGAACGCAGCCCGTAACAGCCCTCTCCGCACACATGTTCTCGGCCGCACTCCACAACTGGAATTCACTCCATCTCCGACCTCGGCATCCCACTTGCTGGTCGCCTCTGCAGCCGACCCATCAAAAGGGCATCTCCTCGGCACACATCATCCGAGTTAAAATGGTGGGGAAAACACCAGTGTGACAGCACTTGCCTGTGACCTATTTCTGATTTGAGAGTACTGATTAAACAAGAAAATTCTTATGTTTGGTAGATTTACAGGCATTCTATGAAAATAAAAAAACAAAACCGAGGTGAGAAGAAGGAAAACTATTTGGGAACATAAAGACCTTTTTCCTGCTTTAAAGCAGAACACTGTCATAGCAAAGTATGGAAAAATAAGTGAATACATGTGACAATTCATGTTAAAACTGGGGTATCAATACATGAGAGAACAGAATTTAGCAAAACAAAGTGCAAAAGACATCAATGTGGCTTTCCTCATTTAATGTTCCTTTCCACTTATAAATGCTATCACAGTTCTAAAGAATTGGGAGAAAATTTTTTATTATGAAGATATAGCTCTAAGAACGGAAAGATAATTACATGCTAGCTTATAGTTCATTGTAAAAAATAATTATAACGTGAAAAGTTAGTAAAAAATTAAAATCTGAAAAGTTATCTAAAGTCTGAAAATGTTAAGCAGAGTCCTCTGTATCTTGGCTGTGATCACTTTTGCATATCTGGGAGAGGAGAGTATTTAATTTCTCTATTCTTATTAATAAGGTGGTGTGTCCTTCACAGCTTGGCATAGTCTTTAAGAATCATCTGAAGCTTCTGGCTCAGCAAGATGTTCCCTCTGGCCTTCAGTCTGCCACTGAAGAATGCCTGGAAAGGAAAGCGGGACAAAAGAGCGCCAGACTTTATCATGTTGCATTTCCTTTCTTTTTTGAAAAGATCACTGTTCACACTGAATACAATTGAGATAATACCTCTGGACGACAAAGGCAACTTTTATCTAGCAATAATACTTTAATGATTATAGATAGTACCCAAATTCCTAGATACCTAAGGAAACAAACAAACAAAAAGACTCCTTGTGTATTTTGGAAAACCACAGAATAATTTATCTGAACTGACAGATCTGGGAGTTCTGTGTCTCAACCCACACTTGGATGTCGTTCTATGTTCTTAAATGTGAATTTAAGACCCTATGAATATAGGGCTTTGCTGTAGTCCTGACAATAAAAGTATTTCTTACTCCTTGAAAGAGAAAGCCATGTAATGACAAAACAACACCGTGTAACTAAGTAGCAAATCGGCCCTGTGCTGTAGCATCAGAAGGGCTGGGTTAAAATCGAGGCTCTGCCACTTCCAAGCAAGGTGAGCCTGGGCAAATTACTTAACCTCTCTGAGCTCCAGCCTCCTCATCTACGGGGGCATGACAACAGTACCTAAATAACGCAGCTGTGTCGCTGAGCTGAACGAAATAGTGTGTCAAGCGCTTAGCTTAGCGTGTGATGTGCGGTAAGGGCCTATCAAACGTGTCATTATTACCAAGTGAAGGCTGGAGAGTTCGAACACTACAGAATCGCCTGTGGGCCTGGCCTGACACAGAGACTTGTCCACGTTCCTTAAGTTCACCCTCGCTGTCAACTTCCCTCGCAGTAAGAAAACACATACATCAAAGTTCATACAGCTAATGGGGAAATAGTATATAGACTATGAAGTGAAAAAGAAATCCCTAGGTTTTTAGATAGATGGAAAAAATGTAATATCCATGTATTCTTACCATTACAAAGCAGCCTAGGAATACAGTCTCACCTGAGAAGCCAAGCCATCAGCTTGCAGTGAGCCTGTTTCCTGCCAGTCGACAGCTGAGAAAACTTGAGAGCTGTAATAACCGGCTCAAGGCCACAGCGCCAGCGAGAAGCGGGGCTAGGCCTTGAACTCACACGTGTTCTTCCTCAACACAGCCTCCGGCTTATCAACATACAGCAACTTGATCTTAGAAGCAAACCCTCATCAACTGGAGGGAAAGCCAAAACTACGCCAACTTCTTATCCCAGAAAAAAATAAAGGGGAACTCATTCACAATCAGGATCAACTGCGAGGGGTCCAAACAGGAGCCTGGGATTTCAAAGCTAAGACTGCTTTCGTGGGGCAGTGACAGGCGCTACGCTCCGCGAGCATGGCAGAGGGGTCAGTACCGAGACCTGCCTGCTGGGGTCCAGCTCTGAGACGGACATGCCACCGAGGATCAGAACACCTAATTCCTTGAAGGAGATACACCAAAGCCAACGAGGACGGGTGTCGTAGAGTAGAAGAATTCCGTACAGAGATCTCTGTCCCTATCTATTTCCTTAGGATAGATTCCTAGAAGAAGAAATACTGAATCATGACACAACCACGCTTGCCCATCACCAGCGTGCAAACTGTGCGGCACAGTATGGAACAATATGGAACATTTAACATTTTCGAGGGAAATACAGGGACATCAATGAAACACAACTCTTGCTTGGACCTAATCACTTAATAAAGGGCTGTTAGGTATTTCTCTGAGCCTAGGGGTGCGAGGCAAAAAGTACTGAGACCACAGGTTGCCACGAAGGAACAAAGTCTGAAGCCCTCCCACAGTGCTTTCCAGAAAGACTGTACCCAGTTTATACTCACTCCAGCTACCTGTGAGTTCTCTTATCCCAACTGTAACAATACTGTTCATTTTAACCTTTGAAAATTTGAGGCAAAATGACATCCACTAATTTGCATTTTGTGGCTACTGGGAAAAATTAATAGTTCTTATGTATCTAAGTCATTTCTATTTATTGATTACTGGACAACTTTTGCTAACTTTTTTCTATGTGGTGTTTTCCAGAGCGTTGCAGAGGTTACTGACACCACTCTACCGTGTATCGTCGTTGTCTGTGTTATTTCCCCAAGGTTTATGGGACCACCTCGAGGAGTCCGACAAGTTGGCGTTTTCAGTTTCCCCATGGCCTCAACTGCTACTGGTGAGCTCCTGTTCCTGATTTTTATCCTTGCTTTCATCTGCTCAAGTATCAGTGAGGGCCCACAGTATGCTAGGCGATAATCTAGGCAGGAAATAGGTTATCTTCCTCTGTTCCCATGGAACTAACATTATGGTAGGGGAGTCAAAAAATAAAATGTAAGCAAGTAATTAAAACCTGTTATAAACACTAGGAAGGAGAGAGCAGGATGCTATCTCACATCCTCCCTAACAGAAAGGAACTACTCTGGATGAACTGAAGCCAGCTTTGCCAAAAGCTCAGGGGACAAGATCCAGAAAAGGCAACGGCACAGACACCAAAGCAGTAAAAGGTGATGGGAAGAAATGGAGAAAATGAACAATGTGAATGACTCAGCATTCTAAGTGGGAGACAAATGGTGTGGGCTGAAGCGAGAAAAGACGAGCAAGAAAATCGCCACGCAGGACATGGGAGTTTGGTAGTCTGGATGTCATCCAAGGGCAAACGGAAATCTTAGGGAGGTTTTCAGGTAGGGCGACCAATAATCTAATTTACATTTTTAAACGGTTCCCCTGGACCCTGTGTGGAGAACAGACTGGTGGAGAGACAAGTTTGGAAGTAGTAAGACCAGCCAAGAAGCCATAGGAGTAAGCCAGCAGAGATGCTGGAGGCTTGGATCGTGGTGGTATCTCTAGCGGGGAAGGTGGAGGATGAATGTTACGATATATTATGGAGAAAGATCAGGCAGAATTAAGGACGAACAGAATATAGAGGTATAGAAGGAAGCCAAGACAATCCTTACATTACCAAGCATATTAACTTGTATAGATAGATGGTAGTGCCATTTACGGAGACAGAAAAGACTGGGGGAGAAAATGAACTCATGAGTTCTATCTTAGATGACGTCAGTGAGAGATGCCAGTAAGACCTCCCATCAGAGGGTCAGGTGGAGAGATGCCGACAACACTGTGGAACTCAGAGAAGACAAGTCGGACATTTAGATCTGTGAGTTGTCAGCACATCCAAGGCTTTAAATACCATAGGATGGAGGAACGCATTTGGGGAAAGACGTTACTTAGAGAAGAGCCCTGAAATGAGCCCTGAGAAGCACCAAATTTAATGGGTGGGGTGGAAGAAGAAGACAGTAAAGGAGATTAGGAAAAGCCAAAGGTACAGAAAGCAAAACAGGAGAATATGGTGTCAAGAAAGCCAAGGGATGACATCATTTCAAGAAGTTGGTTAACTCAGTTGAATGCTAAGAAGGGCTAAAGCAGACTTGGAATGCAGTAAAAGATAATCAGAAGAGAGATGAATGAACAAGGGGTCACTTGTTGGAGAAGCCATTTTTATGAATCATGAGGGAAGGTACCAAGGTCAACAAGAGTCGATGGCAGAGAGAGAAAGACTGTATATACGAGGAGATGCGGTCTCTGATGACTGAAGACTAATGACCTTAGCACTGAGGTTGGGGAGAAGGTAACAAAGCCAAAAGGCTTCAGAAAAACTCTGATATTAATTAGAATTTCTCAAAGGATTATCATTAAGAATAATAAGTAGCTAGGTTTCTGTTAAGTTTTTGCTTCTGCTTTTATTTTTTAACATTTAATCCCATTCCATCTGGTGGTAACTTAGGTACATGGAGTGATGAAAGCACTACCATTTCCTATGCCACTGCCCAGTGCCATCCACTAAATGATCCATTCACCCCCAAGGGTCTCGTATTCCTGGCAATTACAAAAATGTTTCCCTGATCCTACATTAAATCTTTATATAAGGGCACCTCAAATGTAACACGTCTAAAAAAGAACTCCTAACGACCCACTCTCTGCCCTGGAGTCAATTTTCCACTCAGCGGCCAGAATGACCTTTCAAACTCATGCCACAATGGCTTCCTATCACACACGAGATCTAGACTCCTTGCCAAGACTGCGAAGGTCCTGTGCAAACCAGCCCTTGCCCACTCTCCCCCTCCCCCCTCCCCCCCTCCCAGTGCTCTTCACCTGTCTCCTCACAGTTAAAGTGCTTCAGTAAAGTCCGGCTACTCCTGCATCAACACTTCGTGTCCTTGGCCTCATGGTTCATCCATGAGCACTCACTTTGGCCAGTGCTCTGTCAGGCCTTTTTGGACAACCCCATCTCAAACAGTTCCCCTAGCCTATCACCATCTAATCCAGGGGCCAGCAAACTACAGCCTGCAGGCCAAACTCTGAGGCCAGTTTCTGGAAATACAGTTTTACAGTTGGAACACAGCCCCATTCATTTATTTCCATATTTTCTGTAGCTACTCTGACTCTACAGGGGCAGAAGTGAGGGGATGCAGCAGAAACCATCGGGCCCACAAAGCCTAGAATGTTCACTAGGTGACCCTTTACCGACAAAGTTTGCCAACCAGTGCTCTGACCCATTACTGTGCCTTATTTTTCTCAATACCTGAAATTAGATTTTTTTTCCCTTCCACTCCAGAACTAAGCTCAAACGGTAGGGGGCACGGTCATGTTGAGCCACACCTAACGCCCGAATCAGAGTTAAGTGCTAAGTAAATTTCTGGGAAGGAATCAACTGAGGTCAGCTGGTGCGAAGCACCAGACTGAGCTCTTCGTATACGTTATCAGGTTTAGTTATGACTATTGTTTGGGATTATCACAATTATTGTATTAACTTTATCGTTGAGAACACTAGAATTTAGAGAGTAAGTGACAGCGTGGATTCAAACTCAGACCTATCTCATGTCAAAGATTCCATTTTTAACACTACACTAATTACTGTACAGTTCTTTTTAAATTAGTCTTTCTATCCAGGAAAAGTGCACTTTCTCAGGTATCCAAATTGCTCCTTGTAAACTTGCACAACTGTTCTCACATAGGCTTTCCTTGTTCGGCAAGTCACTGGCATTTTACAGTTTGCGTTGTGATTATAAACAACTTTTATTTTCAGTGACATCCTCTACTTGGGTTCACTGCTGTGTGAAAGCTATTTTTTAATAATAATTGAATATCCAACTGCTTGCTTGAAGCCCTTCATTCTAATAAATAGTAGTTGATTCTCTTGGGATTTCTAGCTACATGATCATGGTTTGAAAGTAACAAGTTTTGGGGCGCCTGGGTGGCGCAGTCGGTTAAGCGTCCGACTTCAGCCAGGTCACGATCTCGCGGTCCGTGAGTTTGAGCCCCGCATCGGGCTCTGGGCTGATGGCTCAGAGCCTGGAGCCTGTTTCCGATTCTGTGTCTCCCTCTCGCTCTGCCCCTCCCCCGTTCATGCTTTGTCTCTCTCTGTCCCAAAAATAAAAACGTTGAAAAAAAAAAAAAAAA